CCACTACATTTTTTTTAAAATCATGTATTAATTCAAGGAACAGAGAAAACAATAGTAAACCTAGTCCTACTGAGCATAGAAGATGCTGACACTTTATGAAACCGAACTATCTGTATATCACAGTATTACCTTGCTGACAAGAACTATGAAGCCCCAATGACTATTTTATTTTTGCCTAAGAGAAATTAACCAGTTTTTATCTGAGTTCTTCTAAAATAGATATGGAAATAGAAACGCCTTTGACTTCAAGAAATATGTACTGTTTTTTAAGGCTACCAAATAGGTTTCTTGATTTGAAGATAAATTAATATGCTGCTCACTTACTAAATTTTAATTACTTATTAGTATTTACATCTCTACCAGAATTAACAGCTGCTGACTGGAAATGTCAAGGAAATACTTCATTATTGCCATTTAATCTTCTCAAATATTCTTGTGTCTCACTCTGTTTTTGGCATAGATCAGAACATGTTTTGTATGGTAAGTTGCCAGTAAAGGCCACAGCTCAAACATGCGCAGAACATTGTATGTGCAATAATGCTTTCTGGGGTACTTTGCTACTAGAGTGCTTTCTGTTTCTGAAAGCAAGATCTGCGGTGTCAAGGGAGATTCTGGATTAGAGCATGGTGTAGCTGGCAAATCTGGGATACATGGAATCATGGACACATGGATGTGCCTTCTGCTCATGTATGGGTTTCTTTGGATTCTAGCCTCTGGTTTAAAACCAGAATTTTCCCCAAGAAGTGGTAGCACTCACTGGGGCAGTTGAAACAATCCAACAGGAAATCGTGGCAATTATTTGAATATTCAGTGATTGGCTACAGCTTGTCTTGCTGGATAAACCCAGGGAGTTTGGGATTGTGTAATCTAGAATTGCATTGTTCCTGTAGTGGTGACATGTTTGATACAAGGTCGCTGAGATAGGAGTGACTATGTTCAAGGCTAAGCATTCCAAACTCACTCATAAACAAAGCTTATCATATGTGATTATTAACAAAGTAAGAAACTGAGGCAGTGGAGGGCTAGAACAAAAGCTCCTAGTGCCTGATGAAGGGATGTGTCTCCCATGAGAATAGGAGGACAACAAGTGGTCCTAGGAACTCTGGCCAAGAAAAGCTCAAGGAAGAGAAACAGAGTCAATAGTGGAATAGGAAGCAGAGTTTTAATGGTTGAAGAAAGGCATCAAGGGGAAGTAGGAATGATAGAAAATCATTTAGTAGGAAGGAAGGAAGCCCGAGAAGCCTGGAACTGTGGCCTGCAATCCAAACTCTGACAGAATTGTGCCACCTCTAAGTCCTGTTTAGTTGGTTTTGTTTTTGTTTTGTTTTCATTAATAGCTGTTTATCTTCTTAAGATACCAAGTGCACTCCCCAGAGAGTCCTGCTTGGGATGATTTGGTCCAGTTTTCTAAATCAAATGCATAAGAATAATGTATAAATATGCAACAGTGCAAAGTAAGAAAGGCTGAAAAACTCTTCAGCTTCAGGTGGAATGGACGTAGGATTTCAAATACTGGGCTAGTTCATGCATTAAGATAACCCACCCATAATGGTCAGAGACAGTGCCTACTACCATTTTGAAGGCATTGGAAATGGTGGGAAGATATATAAGACATATCATGTGGTGTGAACCCATGTGTCATGGGATGTGAGGAGTTAATTCATTATTTCTTCTAAGGCTATCCAAGGAATGATCAGACCTGAAATAGCTGTTGATGTCCATGTCTGTAGGACACAAACAGTTTTATTGTTTTATTGCAAGCTGTGACATCCTCACCATGGCTTGCATATTAAAAATGGTGGCTGGCATGGGCACTGCAAGTAAACTGAACCATGATGGCTTACTATGATGTGCAAAAGTTGGATGATTGATTAGTTCAGTCATCCAATTCCTTGACTGCAGGCTTCAAACCTACAGTCAGAGGATTTATTTAACACTTGCTGCTAAAATGCAGTTTATTGCATGGAATCCTCTGCTGTTTACTTATTACTAAAATGAATGTTGTGAGCAGGTTCAAATATTATAGCATATAAATAACCTGAAATTTAAACTTTAGGTAAACAATCAAGACTGTAAAAGAGTAAACAGATTTATGTTGATATATACTCTCTCTGCAGTTCAACAGTTATTTAGGATTATACTAACTGAAGATAATGTACAGCATATTGATTGAATGCCCTCTGTATGGCCCTATGCATAAAAGATGGAGGAGGAGGAAGAAGCTAGCATTAAAAGTCCAAAAGGACATGAAGGACTGCGTCTGCAATGCTGGTTGCAAAAGGTCTGTTTTATGTTTAGTAAGGAGTTCCTTCCAAGTTCATTTGGTGTGTTATCAGAAGAACAGAGGTAGGCTACAACAATCCTTTCACTGGCGGTTCATGTCAGAAGTGTTTGCTTCCTCCCGCACACCCTGCCTTTTCAACAGCAAGGCAGACACTTTCATTTGAGCCTGAGTTGCCACTTCAGCATATTTTGCAGTATTCTAATTGTGGATCTCCTACCCTTCTTTCTTAAAATGTCAGAAAATGTGTATGGGGTTGTGTCTTTCTCGAGAGAGACTGACTCAAGGGTACTTAGGAAACTGTGGCAGAGCAGAAATGAATCCAGGTCTCCTTGGTCAGAGGTCCAGTGCTGTTCACTTCACCCCTTCACCCATATTGGGACCAGTCCTTTTTGTTGGTAATGTTCCATATCTGATTAGAGTTTTAGCATTCCATTTAATGTGAACCTTATGCCCATTCCTAATATCTTTGAATGGAATGGTCAAAGAATTGCTGACAACTTTAAAATAATGGATGGATATCTGTTGTATAAGAAGCCTGCAAGTATTGATATCCCAGGTGGACAATTGAAATGTTCTGAACTGCTTATCCCAAGATGATTATTTATTATTTATTTATTTAGAGAACTTCTATGCCGCCCCATTCACCAAAGCCTCGGGGCAGCTCACAATCAAATAAATAAACACAATATAAAACAGTATAAGTCGCCTTGGCCAAAGAATAAAATAAATAAATAGTATTAACAATAAAAATAACATTTGAATAAAAAGGTCTTCGCATTGCTTCTTCACTATTTCATCCTTTCACTGTTCCACGCATGACAGTAATGCAATTTCTGATGTGCACAAAATGCTACCTCTACACCAGGAGTGATCAATAATCACTCCTTGGGTCTTCTGGATGACAAGAGTTTGATGGAGTCCTGCAGCTGCTAGGCAACAGATAAATGTGCAACATGATAGAGCAAAGAAGTCCTTATCTCTAAGATGTAGTCTTGGCCACAGTACTCATACTTGCTTCATTTTCTGCATGCCAGTATAAAGAAATAATGCTGACTTGCATAAACTTTGTAAAGCAAGTGTGTGGCTCATAGGAAGATGTTTGTGAGTGTGAGGAGTGTGTCGTCAATAACTAACAAACTATGCAAGGTTTCTTCAAAGCAGTCCTGATAATTGTAGTTCTGTGCACCAGTATTAATATGTTATCTCTATATTGATATATTGGTACCGTGCAAACACATGCAAATTAATGACAAAGCCAATTTTAATATGTTTCATATTAGTAGCTCTTTTTGGACAGTACTTGCTCCTCTTGAAGTGATGTTATTTTTCGAAGCTGCATGTTAGCTAAATGAAGGGTCCAAAGAAACTGAAAGGTGTTCGTACTGCAGCAGTTTTTGCTTGACTGTGTTCTTTTTGACAGTACTTCAAATGCAACCCAGTCGTGGAAGCTGGGGGTGGGGGACTGTAATGCAGATGAGTCATTAACCAAGGCTGTGGTGCAATCCTATGTATATTTAGATAGAAAAAGGTCCTACCATTTCCAGCATAAGGATTGCTGCAACTTAACTAAAAGCAAGAAAGATCAGGTGACTGTGTATCGCAGTGACTTGTTCTTTTGCTGTGTTTTGACCTTTTTCCCTCCAAAAATGTATAAATCGTCTTTTCCCAGCTTCTCTGTTTGACTTATATTTTATGCATTCAAATTAAATTGCAACAAGCTTTAAAATTCCATCACCTGTCACACATGTTTGTTGAGAAGGCAACTTTATATTTAGAGGCTCTTGTAAGAGAGGAGTCTGGTGTGCACTGAATAATAAGTGAACTGACTATGGAGGTTACAAAAGTCATTACACAGTTTTGATGCATGATGCCCATGAGCAAATTTCCCAAATGTAATGTTGGGGCTTCTCTGTGTGGAACAAGAGGATTATATGAACCTGCCCACTATCCTCAGGCCTTACGTCTTCTGAGATTTTTATTGGCTGTGAGGTAAATAGCAGTCTCTTGAATAAAAGCTGTTGGGAAGGCTTAACCTTGCGAATAAAAAGTTAATATAATCAACTGGAATAACCAATAAATGAGACCTAAAGAGCCTCTTAATATGATGTCTCTAAAGTGACTCTTTCTGTACCACAGCTTTAAATAAACCTGAGACTGTTTCCCAGCAGTGGCATTTTTCCCCAAGGTGTAATATCTTAGTTGTCACTGTGATTGATGTTTCCTTTGAACAAATGACCCTTTTAAACTAGATAAAACTGAGCATCTTACAATAGAGGTGCCATGCTCTAGCTTTTGTTTTATGAAGAAAAACTGTTCCTCAAGGAAAGTGTGGGATGTTTTTGCTGCTGTTGACTTTAGCATAATTTTCATATTTTCTCATATTTTGAAAAAAAGTAGGGCTGCCATAGTTGGAATTCTGTGGAATGCCAGTAACAGATAAGTAAAGAACAATTAACTCCATTGATTTCAAGCTTCTATCTACAGAATGGATGGCACTCTATTGATAGAAGGTGCCAGACATAATTAAATTGTAACACATTTTTATTTTCATTTCCAAACATGTTTGTAAACTTTATCACTTATAAAGAGAATTCTTAAGGGTATATTAACTAGGATGACTAGCACTTAATAGACTTGAATGACCAAGAAATAAAATGTACATATCACTAGAAGTTTCATTTGTAGTAACCCTTTCCTAACATTCTTCTGTTGAAAGGTATGCTGCCTTTCATCGTATTTTGAAGAACATTGAAGAAAATGAAGGCGGCCTTGACAAATTCACAAGAAGCTACCAAACATTTGGAATTCACAGATTTGTAGACGGAGGGCTGTACTGTAAGGAATGGGCCCCCGGGGCAGAAGCAGTGTTTCTTACCGGTGACTTCAGTAGGTATTTTCAAATGCATGCATTTTACCTTACCCTTGTGATGCATCTAAAGTTCTTTTTTCATGGCTGTCTTTTACACACTTTGATTCTATTAAATAATGGATTGTCAGCATCAGAGGTAAATCTTTAAAGTATATTGGAAAATGCAGGACTGCGTTGCCAGGGAAAGCTTGAAGAAACAACACCTATTAATTTTGTAATGGTAGACAAAGTAGGCATGCATGTGTAATGTACACTGCATGGAATCCCCTCTTCCACTCAGACCCCATAGGAATTGCCTTACACCCTCTCTGGCCATCCCACAGCCAAGGCACTAGAATTAGCACGTGACTCACTCAAGCACAGCTTCAGAGGGTAACGTGAGTTTATTAAGACAGTAAAAAATTGGGCTGGTAGAGGAAATAACAGATGTGGGACTTCAAAGAGAAAAGAGAAGGGTAAGAGGAAATGGATAGCAGCAAAACAATTACACAACACTCAAAGCTGACCTACTCCCTTGTGTCAGTACATCTTGATGCATCAAAAGGACAAGAAAATAAGAAAACTAGCCCTGTGCTCCTTGATGCATACATGATACTGCCAGATATATGATCCAACCTGAGATAGGAAGTGGCAGGTCTCCTTTTGCCAAAGGCAGGCAGCTTCACTGGGAGAAGAACAAAAACACCTTTTTTCTCTGTCTCTGGGTTCTTCATTCCTCCCCACTCCTTCTCTCCCCCTTGGAGTGATTGCCAGTCTCCCAGTCCTGAAGGAGCAGTTTCCCATGCTGCCTACAGTCAAAATACCTTACTCAGCATCTCTGGGTGTCCCTGAGCCTAGCTGTCCTGATAAGCCCAAGGTCTCTTTGAACCTTGACAGCTGGAATTCTGAGATCTTATAAATTTGTTCTTGATCAGAGTTATGTATACTTTCTCTCATCTAAGGGTTTTCTTAACCCCTTCATGACAGTGTGCAGTTTAGTTCAGGATTATAGGAAAGACAGAACTATGGTTCAAATCCCAATTGGTATGAATTTTCCTGTGTGGTCTTATGCCAGTCATGTTCCCTCAGCCTAACCTATCTAACAAGATTGCTGAGATGATAAAATCATGGGTTGAAGGATGTGGTGAACCTTGAGATTCCAAGAAATAAGACAGAAAAAGAAACATAATAAATTTAATAGATCTGGGCACTTTTAATTTAAAGTTCATTTTCTGATGGAGAGAACTGTAAAGTTTTATATGCATAGAAGTGGCTATTTGTGGAAAAACAAGGGGGTGCAATTATAGAGTCCCCTCTTTCTTCTGAATGATATCACTCTGCCACTATCGCCCCTTCCCCCAGTTCTTCTGCTATGAGATTTCTGTGAGAAGACTCTTTGAAAAGATACAAAGGGCTCATGATTGATCTAACATTCCACAACTCTCTTTGTTGAGCCTTTAATGGAGCCAGATTTGTATGGTGATAAAAATGGGTAAAACAATGTTTTTTTATGTACACAATTATTTAGTAAGTTTCCAAAGTATTGCCATTACTGTCATTCTTAGTTATCCTTTAAGTTCTTAGAATGTAAGCCTATTATGGCCTAAAATGAAGCTAGGCATGGTTGATGCTCATTGTCCACAAGTTAGTTGTCATATAGTCATGGCTAGCTTTGGTTGGATCAATGACATAAATATTCTACAGAAAAAAAATAGATATGTTCCTGCCTACCAAAGTGGCTTCCAACATTAGTCCAAAGGAAAAAGTACTAGAAGGTGTGAGGAATAAGGAGCAGATAAGCATTTCTACAGACTTAAGGTAATGTATATTATTATTAGCATGATTTAAAGAATAATGATTATATATAAAGTGGGGGAGAAGGATAATAGATTTAAGGGAGACTGAACTGGTAAAATAAATTTTAAGAACTTTAAAAAGCAGAGTAAGAATGAGAATATATGCTGGAAGAATATTGCAGACATAGGAAAGGAGACAGAAGAGAGAACAGAAACAGAACAGAACAGAAAATCTTGGCTTAACACAAGGAGGAAAGAAGAAAATATCCTAATTGGAACATGATGTGAAATAGAGGAGGAAGGTAAGCAAAGGTCAAACCTGTTAAGAATGCTAAGGCTGCAGTCCTACACACACTTACCTACTTGGGAACTCAGTTGGACTAACTTGTGAGTGAATATGTATTGAATTAAACTGTGGAAGTTCCATTAAAGTAAGGTATTCATCCCTATAAAAATCTGTCCTAGAGTCATGTTACCTCTGTAAAAACATGGGGTGGTGGACTGTGCTCGTCCCATCCCCCACCATCACCATTTCTGCATTCTCTGTATGTGGAGGCTGACTTTCTGAAGGTTTTCTATGTGATTTTAAATGTTTGGAAATGTACTAGCTGGATCCTACTCCTTGACTATTTAATCTACACACATTCTTACACTTAGCTAGGCTGTAGCCATGAGTGAAATGTACACTACAGGGAATCCTGCCAGCAAGCCACACCTTCCTGAATAATTCCTTTGAAATTGGAGCTTTCCTCCTTATTTCCCCAGGGTTATTCCAGCATCAAGTAAAAGGGGAAAACTTGACTTCTCAGTGCTTGAAGAAGAAAGCTCATGCCTATTAAGAACCCTAAAAGTATGGGAATAAAAGATCCCAAGGTTGATTTCACAGTTGATTAAGGAGAATTTGTCTTCCCTGTTAACTGAAATAGCATTGGATGTGGTCTGGTGAGCCTTGTTCACCCTTGGTGTTTGAGGAAGGATCAATACCTTAACATTCATGTGTCACCTCAGATATCCTCCATGGTATCTGTTTATCACCAACACAAGGCACTATTTAGAATATTCATTAAGGGAAAGTCCCCTCGGATATGCTGTCCCTCAAGAAATTGATGTTACCCATGGATGAGAGAGGCTTCAATTTCCCAGATTTAAAGTTGTACCACAGAGTGTGCCTGCTCTTACGCACTCATAAATGGCAACTGGTCATTCACTGTTATTGGCATCCTTGGGTAGGATTTGGCATCCTTGGGTCTGAGTATGTGTATCCAATTGCCAAATGGATGCTGCTAGGTTCCACAAATCTAAAATAAAGAAGGGACTACCTACATTTTTCACATCCCAAAAAGTTTGGGAAGTGAATCCCTACAATTTCACTTAAATGCCAAGTTGATGATGTGGGTAACCCAGACTTGAAAAATGCAAAGCACTTTTTTCTGTGGAGGCAATAGGCTGGAAAAGACCATCATGGATGTTATGAAACCATGTGATCACTAAAAAGCATGAAATATTAGCCATTGTACAGTAGATTGAAGATCTTTTCACTGCTTTTTTTTGGAGGGGAAGTGGAAGGGGGGAACTCTGCTCCTACTAGTAGTACAGAACAAAGGGTGCTGTTCGAATCAGTTGAAGATGAACAACATAAGTACTCTATCTTGTAATTATTTTTAGCATTATTTGCAGTTGTATGATCAGTAGTCTCTTTTTATATTGTTTTACCTTGTGTGTCTTTTTATTGTACTGGAGTGTCTGCTTTGGAGTCATACCTGGGAAATTGCTCTGGCCTGTGGTAGGGATACATACTTCAGTCTCCCAATCCCCTACTTCAGCCAGCATGGAAAGAAGCTCACTAGATTCTTTTCCAGTGTTGTAAGAGCATTCTGGGGGGGACAGGAAAGGGAGGAAACTGGAACAGCCAAGATTTAAGGTTTCCTAATTGTGCCTCAGCCTCCTTTTCTCCTGGTCCTGTCTAGCTGCCACCCAGGGCATGAGGAATGTCCATCACCTCTTTGATGCTCCCAGAGAGTTAAGTATCTCCCACTAAGATTGTGCCCTGAAGTTATTAATAACTGGAACAAACAATGCTAAAAGCATGGACACAAGGTTTAAACTGAATTTGAGCATCTGAGAATCTTTGAAAGCTGCAGTGGGAATAAATAAATATCATGATTACATAAGTAAGCAAGAGCCATAATGTGGAGAACAGAGTTTTAGACTGACCAAAAACATTGCAGTCATCAATATGAGAAATATTAAAGGTTAAATATTCATTTTTGTTGAAAAACAGAAAAAGAAAAATATGGACTTGAGCAATATTGCCAAAGATGGCATGACAAAATTTGACAACAGACTCTGTCTGGTAAGAAAAGAAAGTCAAGGTTAGAAGTTAAGATACTACATGCATTCAAGAGTGCAATATAATTTTCAACACAAAATAAGAGAAATAGAAAAAGATTTTTTCTGTTCCTAAATAATCAGCTGCCCAATCCATATTGAACTTCAGGTAGCACTGTGATAAAGACAGAAGTAGCTGAAGGACTATCAGAAATGCAGTAATGATTAGTATGAGAAAATGATATAGTAGAAATGTAATGTTGAAAAGTGTCATCATAAAGCATTAACTATATATTGAAAGCTAAAAGAGTGAGTAAGTTTGCAGCAGGTGAGAAGAGATGGATCACAAACAGTGTAAATGAGGATCTCCCAGAGATTAAAGTAAAAGAGAGAGCTACTAGCAAATGCTAAAAAACAAGCAAATATAAAACCCAAACGCAAATGAAAATTTTGAAGAGACTAAAAGAATAAATGCACAGAAAGGAAACAAAAAGAGCATCAATATTGAAACTATAAATGAACATACAATAAAGCCTTGATTCATTCTTAAGAGAAGGTAATTTTTGAAGAAACCCTTTATGATGTTCATACATTGAAGAAGCCAGATTGAAATAGGACAAAAAGTTGATTCAGGATGTTTAGGACTTAGTAGCCTACTAAAGACAGATAAAGAAAACCAGAAGCAGCATCTTTTTGTAGCATTTTATGATCATGATGGGTCAACATGTAAAGCACAGCCAGACAAAAGTGAAGTTAAAATATTGATAGCATAAATTCAAAGTACTTGTTTTACAGAGCACACTTATCAATTAGTGTAAGAGGCCGATTTGCTTATTTTCATTCAGTACCTGGCTGACATATTCTAATTTAGATGATTGTATTTAGTGCCTTAATTGATTTGTGCTGCAAAAAGA